ATGAATCCAAACATAATTGGTTGATGTGCTGGTCCACATGCTTGGGAAATGCTGAGTAGTTGAAGGAGGTCGTTAGAGAATTTAGTGAAAAAAGCACTGGCTTACTATTGCAATAACCCATGCCATATGTCGTCTGAGGGCCGAATGCGGCAACCCTCAGTCCAGGCCACATAAGGGAGCAAAGGCCCTAAGTCTGCTACAGGGCCTGGACGCCAGGCAGTTGCGTAGTCAACTGCCGGATTTTCAAAGGTCAAAGTCAATGTGTACCCAGCCCAGGCCGCTGGTCAAGCACACACACTTGTTTGTATGCAGGTACCCGGACAGCATCCAGGCCAAGTGGAAAACTGCAACTGTACGCGATCCAGACCTTCGACGGCGGGTCAATCTGGACGACTGTGACTCGTGGACTGGAGGCCAGACCCCCGAGTCAAACACTACATAAGCTGGGGTCTACAGGGAATCGATATTCACTCTTGCTATGCTGATCCAACACTGGCTTGACTTTGACTTGACGCTGGCATTATGCTAGCGTGACGCTGGCTGGACGCTGGCTGTGCATCAGAGCTGCGGACAACGACACGAGAGGAAGGCGACGCTGGCATTGTGCGCCAGGCATGCTGATGTGGCGCTGCCTGTGGTCTATGTGGCATGCTGACGTGGCGCTGCCTCTGGTTTATGTGGCGCTGCCTGTGGTCTACGTGGCATGCTGACGTGGCGCTGCCTCTGGTATATTTGGCGCTGCCCATGGTCTACGTGGTTTGATGATGTGGCGCTGCTCCTGTCTACGTGGCACTGTTCTTGGTCTTCATTCATGATGTGGCATATGCCACCTGTCTCGTTTGCTGATGTGGCATTGTCCACACTACTTACATGAGGTGACTGGTTGCAAGGGAGAGTAAGATCAGGACTGTGGAGAGATCGTGATACGTACCTGATGGTCTTCATGATGACATTACTCCAAAGCTGATGAGGGACTAATTAGAAGTGCCACGTGGCACATTGCAGATACTCGTTCAGACTGTTGACTACTAAAGTGGCGTTGGAGGAGGGAGCCCGAAGTAGGAGTGGGCATTGTATTTACTTCCTCTCCTTTGTCTATTCTCCCTCCTCTCTCCTTCGTCTGTGAGTGTTTATCTCGTCTTATTCTGTCTGGACACTATCTTGATTATTGGTTCTCATCAGCTGTTGACATCTATCTGGACTTGCATTGTTGATAACTGTTCTCACGATCTGGGTTCATTACAATTTGGTATCGGAGCATCTCTGACAGGCGACGTGGCACCCATGGTCTCGTGATCTGCTGTCTGCTGACAGGTGCTGACGTGGCACCCAGGTAAGTGGAAGGTGCCGCAAGTGCAATATGGAACGCGTTTATTAACGCGCGCGGTCATACCGCAAGTCTAGACATGGTAGTAGTGCACTTGCGAGCAATCATCCCTTGAAGGTGATGACCAGGCGACGTTGAAGCTTGAAGAGCTGCGTTGGCAACAGGCTGACGTGGCATTGGTACCACTGATGTGGCATATTGTTGCTTGGCAGGATATGGTCTGACTTGGCACGAATCTGTGCCATGATTACCTGCTGATTGGGCATTAACGTGACATGCCAGTGTATGCGTGTGACACGCACACATTGCTGACGTGGCATCCCCCTTGTATACCTCCGGGTTCTTGATGTGCTGACGTGGCAGACTCCAACGAGCTGCTGTGTTGGCATGTCAGGGGCGACACGTGGCATGTGTTGGGTGAGTTGTTGAGTGTGTTGGCCGCTGCAGGCAGTACAGCTATAGAGAGAGGAGGCTGACAATTGTTTGTGATTGTTGTGTTGGTTTCCTACTTACCTGTTGGCTGTTTTGTGGTGTCCTCGCATACTCACCTGTGTGTTGATGTCTTGATCACACTGGCCGTGGCTGCGGTACCTGCACACGGTAGAATGTCATCATACCTAGAGTAGGAAAATCAGACAGCAAAATAGTATTAGAAAATTGATAATATCTGTTTCTTTGTATTTGCCTTTAATAATTCTTGCTGTACGTGTAGCGTGCGCCGTGGAATTTATTTCGTCTTTTAAATTTATTTATTGTGCGGCATCTGCACGTTTGGCAAAATGCATTCTCTTTGGAAGTGTTTGCGTGCCTCTATCTTGACCCGGTTCATACCACTCTTCTTCTTTCCTATCCCTCTCACAGTCTTTGTTGATGAAGAGGGAGTGGAACCGAAAACACGTGGACAGATTGACGGAAGGAGACAGACTTTATTGGGTCTCCTTCGTCAGCCGCTTGGCGAGATACATGGTGCTGGTCCAGAAGCTGAACAACATGTTCACGGACAGGTCAATCTGCGTGATGCAGAAGGAGACCTGCAGGCCGCTGAAACTGCTGTTCAGATGATGGAGACAGGCCAGAGAGTCGAAGAACTCATCAAGCAAGGACGATTAGTCCTCGATCGGTATGTCGTCGAGAGCCTTCAAACATTAGACCAGGAAAGAACCAAAAGAACAGGGAAGAAAGAAGAAGTGGTTGAAAGGAGAGAACCGCAACTGTCTGTGGATATGATGGAGGAAAACATTCGACAACTAGAGAACACATTGAGAGAAGAGAGAAGGATGGTTGAAGAATACAGGAGATTGAAAGAACAGCAAGAAGAAGAAGAGAAAGTAATGGAAGAATTGAGGCAAAGGTTTCACTACGAAGAAGCAGGAAGTGAGGTTGCATCTATTCTTCGATCTATCATGGTCTACCTCATGCAGCTTGAAAAGAAGATTGAAAATAACACCGCCGCAGTTGAGTCCATGACCAGAATGATGAAAGGGAAAGACAAGGTGGTGTATGAGGAGGTGGCCAAGGGGGAAGAAGATAAAAAACCCCAGGAGAAACTAATGAAGGATGCAATGAAATGGGTCATGCCGAGAAACCGGAAGGTTCCAAGAAAGAACCTGAGAAGCCGGATGAAAAGAAAGAAGAACCCTCCAGAAAGAAAGAAGAACCGGTGAAAGAAGCGGAGAAGCCTAAGAAGAAGGAAAAGGTGAAAATGAAGTTGCCATTCACCTACAGTAACAAGAAGGATGAAAACTTGTTATTGTGGATTGCCGAAATCCAGACCTACCGTAGTACCGCACCCGTAGAACCCGAGAGTCAAGTTGCTTTCTCAACGTCTTGTCTGGGAGGAGTGCCTAAGGAGTGGGTGCTGGCCGAGGCCAATGCCGCCGGCTTTGAGGATATTGGCGAGTGGGCAAAAACCCTGACGTTGAGGTAATTTCTCCAAAAGATAAAGGAGAGGTTCCTTGACAAAACGACAACCGATAAGGCATTCGACGAGCTCACCACCATTGGCCAAAAGCGTTGGTCTTCTGTTGAATCGTTGTCTCGTGAGGTTGACCGTTTGTTGCAGGTACTTGGGCTGAACTTGCACGACAACCAGGTTCTCTACATCTACTCACGTGCATTGCCCGAGCCCATTCGTGGACAACTCGTGGCCGAAGCTAAGTCTGGTAAGTACAACTATCGGGAGTTTTGCGATCTCGCTCTCCAACGAGAGCAGATGACCGCGCAGGTAAAAGGGTCGTACGCTTGAGTTGTTAAGTCGGGACCGGCTGGTGGGTACGGCAAGCGGATCCTCTGGCAGCAAAAGCGCTAGGACCATATGCTTGTATTATTTGACGATGAAACAGTAGAGAAGTTACCTCTTGGTGAGACTGAGGGAGGAGGAGGTAACGGCGACAGTGAATCTGAGAAGGGTGATGTCACTGCCGTAATGGCCAACAAGGGAGGCCAAAGTCAGTGGAAGAAGAAGAAGAGGTCACGCTCGTTTCTTGAGCATCCCGGCATTGCATTCGGGAGACCTTGGGAAAAGATGAACATGACTAGGGAGGAGTGGCAGTCCAAGATGGACAATCGCCAGTGCCTCAAGTGTGGCACCGTGGGGACACGTGATAGCCTGGTGCCCGCTTATTCGTAACCCAAAAGCGAGCAGCCAGTAGGAGTAGCATTTGCTCTTACTGGGTCGAAGGGTTTTTACGAAGATAAAGGTAAGGCGCCTACAACCCCTTCTAACCTTTCGACCCTCAAGGCCGAAGATGGCTCTTTTTCCGTCCATCGTCCAGAGCACCCTGACACTGTGCTTTGCTCTGTCTCACTGGACGATTCCCTTGACGAACTCGGCAATGAACTGATAGCACTACGGAGTTCGTGGGTGAAGAAAGCGAAGTCTAAGGATGAGTCAATGATTGCAGATGTTGAGATTGCGCACACGCGAGTAGGTGCTCTGTTAGATCCGGGATCGACGCAGTCTTATATCTCAGAGAAGGCAATTCGAAAATTGCATCTGGGAATGAAGGTAAAGGATTTGCCTAGACCTATCACGTCTATACAGGCTGATAAGAGTACGATCACTGTTTCTCAATACGTCGATCGTGTCAAGTGCTATTTCAGGACAAAGGAAGGTAAGAAAATTCTACACGAGGTATTCTTCCTAATTTAAAAGAATTTACCCTTTGACTTAATTCTGGGTATGGATTGGCATAAGGAAGCCAACCCATAAGTCAAGTTAAAAGATAAAATTGTCAAACTCAAGGACGATAAGTCCGAAATGCGTGTGATAAAGTTGTACCATAAGTCTGGCTCTGACTCTACTCTGTCTTTCTGTTGTATGAGTTATCCAACTTTTCGATAGATGATCACTAAGAAGAAGTTGGATCATGAGGTGATGATGGTGCTCGTCAAACGAGTAGGTGAGTGTTCCTCATCCTACCCACCTTCTATCGAGAGACTTCAAAATTAATACAAGGACTTGCAGACTAAGCCGACGGGAATCACTGAGCGTGCTATTAAGCACACAATCGAGATCATTCCCGGAAGCAAAATTCCCAAAGGTCTCATTTACCGTATGTCTTCCAGGGAACTTGAGGAGTTACGGAAACAACTGCAGGAACTTACTAATAAGGGATGGATTCGCCCTAGCTCATCTCCTTATGGTGCACCTGTCTTGTTTGTGCCTAAAAAGGAAGGTGAACTACGCCTATGCATTGACTATCGTGAGCTGAACTCCGTCACCGTGAAAAACGTGGAACCTCTTCCGCGCATTGACGACCTGTTGGACCAATTACAGGGGTACAGGTACTTTAGCAAGATTGATCTCCAGTCTGGGTACCACCAGATCGAGGTGGCTCCTGAAGATCAACACAAGACGACGTTTCGAACAAGGTATGGTCACTACGAGTTTGGGTAATGCCTTTCGGTTTGACTAACGCCCTTGCAACCTTTCAGCGGTCTATGAATGAGTTGTTTCGTCAATGGTTAGATCAATTCGTAATTGTCTATCTCGACGATATTCTAGTGTATAGTAAGACACTAGAACATCACGAAAAACATCTTCGGATGGTCTTACAGAAGTTGCGTGAAGGCAACTTCAAACTGAACCCGAAAAAGTCTGAGTTCGCTAAACCTGAAGTCTTATACTTAGGGCATATAGTAAACGAGGAAGGACTCAGACCTGAAGAAAAGAAGATTACAACAATCAGAGATTCGCCACAACCTAAGACTATAACTGAATTGAGATCTTTCCTAGGACTCGCCAGTTATTATAGGAAGTTCGTCAGAAACTTCTCCTTGATAGTTGCTCCTATGAGAAAACCGCTAAAGAAAGAAAGACCTTGGTTGTGGGACAAAGATTGTGAGTCATCATTCAGGAAACTGAAATCTGTTTTGACTCGGTACCCTGTCTTAAAGATTGCTGACCCTTCTCTTCCTTTCATGGCCACGACTAACGCAAGTCAGTATGGGATTGGCTCTGTGCTACAGCAAGACGACGGTAAGGGATATAGACCTATTGAGTTTATGTCCAGAAGACTTCCGTCAGAGAAAGTCGCCAACTTCACATATGAAAGGGAGTTGTATGCCTTAGTCGCTGCACTAGATATCTGGAAGCACTACTTGTTGGGAAGACATTTTACTGTCTACTCTGATCACTCTACATTAAAGTGGATCAAGACTCAGCCTAGACTCTCCGACAAGTTGGTAAGGTGGTCAGCATTCCTTGATACCTTTGACTTTGAGGTAAAAAATCATCAAAGGTAAGTCTAACGTGGTTGCGGATGCTTTGTCCAGGCATGCAGATTTCTTTGGAGCGATTGTCTCTTATTTGGCAATGAATTGAAGGAACAGATAAGGAAAGGTTATGAGAATGATTTCATCCGGAGTCCTATCATTGAAACTTTAAGAAAGTATCCTGAACTGTTCCCAGAGTATCGAATGACTGATGACTTACTCTTCTTTATAGATAAAACCGAAGAAAGACTGTGTATTCCTCATCAAGAA